AGAATTCTGTTTTTGGAGAATGGTCTGAGGTTGGTGGTGTCTTTGAATCTGCTATGCTGACATGAAGAGTATTTATAATGGTGGTGGTTTGTCTTCTGTTGAAGAAGAAATTCTTCTTAATGGAAATTTATTTCATATCGGATTTTTTTCTGATATTATTATTATTATTAAAAACAGAAAACACCCATCTCAACATTCCACAAAAATTTATTAACCAAATAACTATTACTTAAATTTTTATTAAGATTATATGAAGAATATTAAAATATATTAAATAAAACTCAGAGAATCAGGCCGGGTTATCCCAAACAAAAAATCTCTCTTTCCCTATAAATATCGGCCCGGCCCAGTTGATGGTTTAAAGACATTTAAGAATAAACCGGACCGTTTCTAGAATATGTGTGTTTGGGCTGGATATTCTCAAACAACATGAGTGTTCTCTGGGGAGAAAGAAAGTTAGTGAAGATGTGTGGTTTTTTTTTAAAAAATAAATTCAAATTTATTTATACTTTATTTTAAAAAAAATATATAGAAGTTATTCAAAATAAAAACAATGATGGTGTAAAATTTTTGAAATATTATTTTTTATTTTTATGAGATTATTTTTATTTGTGCTTAATTACATAAACATGTATTATTTTCATTCATGAATGAATATATGCCCAAACACATATATTTTAATGTATTAAATGGAGAGTTTTCTTGTTAGGTTTTCTGTTGAGACTTAGTAGCAATAATAATAATAACAACGACAACAACAACAATAAGTTACATATTTTAAAATTGAGTGTTTTTATTAAAAATGAAAAAATAGGTATTTTAAACATCCTTTTGTTTTTTTTTTTCCTAACATTGAATTCATGAGCTAAGTACAAAAGTTAGAAGAATTATTTGGATTTGAAGAAAAGAGATACATTTTCTCTATATTATATATCATCGATATATTAAAATCTTAATACTTCAACTTTTCTTTAGAATATAATAAATAGAAATAAATAATACTAGTCACTAATTAATATTTTAGAATGAAAGAGAAATTTTTTTTTTTAAACAATGCAAATCGAGGTTGTAGAAACTTGTAAGTTATGAAACAATTTGCACCTGAGATGTTGCAGTGTGAAGCTTTTGGCTTATCTACAAGACAAATATAAGAAAATAGTAGGAAATAAATGCAAACAAGGCAACACATTTTGGGTTGACGAAAGAGAAACCTTGCTAGGGGTTTTTTTTTTCTTTTTTTGTTTCTCGATACTTCTCGACTACATAAGAGGAGTATTTATATCTAGTTAAATAAAGATTTCCATGGACATACACCACATATGCACGCAATCATCTTTAAATAAAGCTTCATATATACATACATACATACACATTGTTTTATTGTTGACTCATGCGTGGGCTGTCCAAGCGAGTGGGCATGGGCTGTGCAGGTGAACGGGCTTGTTATCTTCTCACGCGGGCTCTTCCTCTATGGGCTCGAGCTTGGCATATTTCGACACCCCCTTTTTAAGATGGAGACTAGTTTTTTTACTCCCATCTTAGCAATATATGAGAATAGGAACTTTCTTATTAACAGTTTAGTGAAAATGTTTGCAACTTGGGATTCATTGCTCATGCATTTTGTCGTTATACTTTTATTCTATATTTTCTCACATACTAGGTGACAATTTATATCCATATGCTTTATTTTCTCATGAAATATTATATTATTGGCTATATAGGTTGCTATTTTATTTTCATAGTATTGACTGGTTCATTATGAATAATTTTTAAGTCATTCAAGAGGTACCTTACCCAACTCAATTCATAGTAAGTGCTAGTCATGACTCTGTATTCTTTCTATGCCAATAACTTAGACACTGTATACTACTTCTCCAACTTCCAACTTATCAATGATGTCTCAAGAAATAAACATATCCAGTTACATATCTCTTTGTGTCTTAACATGCTTTTTAATCACTATCACAATAAGCACTAAGTTGCAAGTTGGATGTGGAAGAATAAAACAATATATATCCAGAGGCCATTTTAATGTACCTTAGAACTTTATGTACTGCTTTCAAATGTTGATATCTCAGGTGCTCCATATATTGGCTTAATAATTATACGGAGTATGATATATCGTGCTTGGTAAATATTCAAATACATAAGCCTCCCAATTAATCTCCTATAAACTATTAGGTCTAGGATTGATTGACCATTTTCCTTTGAAAGCTTGAGATTCTGATCATGTGGTATCACTGATGCGTTGACACTAAGAACACTAGTGTCTTTAAGCAAATCCAATGCATACTTACATTAAGATACATGAATTTCTCTTTATGAGTGTACAATCTCAAGACTCAAAAAATATTTTTAAGGTTTTCAAGATTTTTGATTTTAAATTTCATGTCCATTTGAAAACTTTAATTCATTAATCTGCTTAACATTGTTCCCAATAATGATAATGTCATTACATACACAAGCATCACTATAAATTCTTCTTCATTCATCCACACAGACATGCTATAGTATGCTTTTAGCTGCTAGAACCCTTGGTGAATATATACTCTTTGTATCCCTTATTGATAGCCTTGTAGGAGATAATGTAGGCTGTGTGAATGGTTTTTCCTCCCCTAACTTTATCTCTTTGAGAGCATTCTTGACTACAATAACTACTCATCACTTCTGCACAAATGAAGTCCTTCAGCTAAGATGGAGGATTTGATAGTGCCTAAAAATCACATCAATATCACCCATATTTGATTTGTTAAACTTAATGGTATATTATCTAATCCGAACTATTTTTTATATTTTGTTACAGAACAGGAGATAAGGATGAAATAAGAAAAAACAATATGAAAATGGAAAGAGTTAGTGAAAAAAGTCATTAACCCAGAAACAAACTTTGGGCAAGGCTTGGTTCAGTAGTTAGCAGCAGGTCTTGCCTTAAAAAACTTAGCCTTGGGCAAGGCTAAGGGTTGCGAATAGCAGATGACTTAAATAAAAATGCATGCTCTTTAAATTTAGAAAAGATCTCCTTCCAACCAAGATCTAGGGCCGAAAATCAAGGAGAAATTATTTTGAAAAGCTAAGGATAAGCCAAAAATTAAAAAAAAGGAACATAATCAATAAAAGAAAAAAAAAACCATGGCCTCATTGGGTTATAAAATTGCACCTGCCAAGTAAGTTCATCATCTTCCTTCTTCCAAAGGCTGCACATAGCAATAGTTGTAAATCCCACACATTCCCTTCATTCTTTTTCTTCCTCTCTTAACCATTAAAGAAACTCTTTTGTATAAAAGACCACCATGAGTGACTAATTTGCTTTCTTTTTCTAGTTGAGATTTGGTGAACTCCAATGATGTATTTGTGAGATCGAATTTATTTGATATATGTTTTATTTAAATCTTGATATTTATTTATTTTCGGCACATATATATATTTGCGGTATTGAATCCGTTTGAATAAGGCCCATTGAACATTGGAGAAGTAGCAAACAGTTAGTCGAATACCTCAAGCCTGTAATTGTTTGAGTGGTTCTGACACCTAGTAGCGATCAATATCGCACTAAGAAGGTGAGTAATCTGGTTGATCTGTTCACACAGATGAACCCAGTAACTTGAATAAAGTTTTTCTAGTTCTCAAAACCGTTGACAAGTTAAATCATGTGGACGTTCCTAGGACTGTTTGGCAATGAAGAACCAACTAATCAACGTTTTTTATTTAGTTTAAAAATAAGGAAGAATTAGTTATCGGAATATTTTCGACAACTATAACTGGTTTGCTACAATTTAAATAAAATAAATTCTTACATCTATGATCAAATATTTTACTAGAGCTAACTATTTCATCAATTAAGAATTTTCTTATAATTGTTTTAGTTTCTAACTTGTAGCAAAAAATTTGTTTAATACTATTCTGCTTATTGCTTATTGCTTATTTTATATTTTGCGTATTAAATTTTATAAAACCTCCCTTGTTTACTTTTCATTTGTTGGTCAAGGAAAAAAATTGATTTCCAATTTTATGTGGATTCGATCTTGCTTACCATTACTACAATCTTGTTTTATTGGTTAAATATAAATTTATTTTTGGTGGATTCGATACCCATAAGGATTCTTAACTCTTGCAGGCTCTTTACTAAATTTGAGTGATCTGCGTCGTTGAAAACCTCAATGTTATCTTCTTGTTGTGCCATAACTTTATCTATCATTCTTTCTTCTAATTATTCCATGGTAAATGGGGAACTTGATTGCACATGCACATTGGTGTGTTCATCATTAACAAAATTTGGTGCTATGTTTCCACCATCATCACCATATGTATTGTGTTCTTTTTATAAGTACTAATAGTTTGAATTTTACAAGAAAATATATTTTAATAGAATAACACATTTTTTTAAATAAATACCTTATTGGTCTCCATGTCTAGCAAATTATACCTTCTCTAAATGGGTATCCCAAAAATACATATTTTATGGCTCTTGGGATCGAATTTATGTCTATTGCCATTGAGGGTTAAAGTAAAAGTCAAACACCCAAATACTCTAAGGTGGGAATAATGTAGTTGTCTTTTGAATAGCTTCTAAAAGGGTGTCTTATGATATATGGTAGATGAAAGGGTTATGTTGATTAGATACCCTACTATGAGTTGTAGTCACTTTAATATTTTAGTTTTAATCCACTTTGAAATTTCAATATTCTGGCAACATTAAGTATCTGTTGGTGCTTTCTTTTTACTTTTTCGTTATGCTCGGGTGCTTTAACATAGTTTTTTTTATTTTTTATGAATGATTTCTTTTTTCTCATAGAGGTCTCTTATCTCAAACTCTTCATATTTTCACTATGCACTACTATGATCCTGACATTGAACTGAGTCTCCACAAGAGTGCAAAAGTTTTCCAATATATGACTTATTTTTTATTTTGATTCAAGTAAATACATCCACACACATTGACTAAAATCATCCACAATAGAAAGAAAATAATGTTATATATCATAAAAAATTTCATTACATGGACTTTAAATATCAGAATATATCATATCAAAACGTAGTTCATATGTGTACTAACTAATAGGAAACATAAGCCTGTGCATCTTAACTAATGGACATGCATAGGAAGGTTTACACGTTCTCCCTCCTAAGACACCTGAAACAAAGTTTGAGATGAGTAGTATACTATGCCCCAACCAATAATATCAAACATCAAAACCTTCTCATTGACTCAAATAAGACTAGAATGCTGCAGATAAACCTTGATGAGAATCTATAAATGGGTTTTCGTATATTCCCAACTGGTACAGACACATTCCTTGACTTTCCCTACTTTAATTATTTTCTATGTTAAAAGGTCTTGTATACTACAAAATTGTGGTGAATATATAAGACAACACTTCAAATCCTCAGTTAGTTTTCTTGTTGGGATCAAATTAAATTTGAAGTATGACGAATAAAAGACATTGTGTAGTGTCATCTCTTACCTTAACTATACCAATGTGCGAGACTTTCAAGATATCTCTATTAGGTAAGGCAACTTATGAAGAAACTTTTTTTGTAACTCTAATATAAAATAGAGGTGTCTATGTAATGTGATATGATGCTCAAGTGTATATAATATAAGAGAATATACTATATTTTTTTTCCTTTATTGAATGAGCAGAGAAACAAATATTCATACTAGAAAATCTTGATAGACTTGTGTCTTGAGGATGTGATGTGGATGAATGTCTCAGAGAAAGCTTTGGTCGTAATAGGGCCGTCAATTATACATATTGCTCTTGGGTGATCATAGCCTATCTTTGGTTGGCTCCTGACTCACTTGTGCTAGTGAGTAAACTTAGTTGACACTAAAATGCTTACTCCTTCCATAATTCTTGTGATCTTTTGGATATCCCACGCAATCTAAGACAATTCTCTGCCACATATATTATAGTGCAAGTAAATTTTTTTTTATTATGGTTAGCCTTGAAACATCTCTCTACTAAATGCCTTACAACTTTACAATGGGTATAATAGTATTTTTCTCGATTGGAAGTGGATCACTTTGTTGTTTTATTTGTATTCCTAACACTTAAGGCATCAGTTTTTTAGTCACAGTGTATAATGAAATGTCTTTTTGTTTCTCTTTCCTTTTAAATAATTAAGCATACTTCAAAACTAGGGAAGGGTTTTATGAACAGAACTTGAGCCCTAATTGTTTTATAAAACTTATTTAGTCCTATAAAGACCTTTATCACCTAATCTCTTTATTGATATTCTTGTACAGTTGGGGATTAACTCATAATTCATCTATCCATCAAATAATGCCTTTAATTTTGAAAAATAAACACTACCCAAGTCTTGGTTTTACATGAGGTTGGCTATAACATGCTTTACCTCATAGATTCTTGGAGCATTTTGTTGTGCATGGCTTTGTTCTAACTTGACCCAGAGTTAGTGAGCAGTATCGACATAAAATGTTCCACACTTGATGATTGCTGATAGTGTGTGTTGAATCCAAATAATAATGACATCGTTACATGGTAGCCAATGATAAATGAGGGGATCACTAGAATCTGTTGCTTCTTTCAAATTTAATCTTTAAATACTAATTTATTTTTGATTCTTAATGTTCGCCTTATAGATTTAGCCAGGAACACCCAAGCCCGAAAATTGGCTCGAAATAATTTTACTGATTATGGAATATATATAAATAATTAAAATGTTTTATTTTATTTTAATTTAATTGAATTTTTGAGAAAAAATGAATTATGGATGAAATTAAAAATAATTTTGGGAAGAAGGGGTAAAAATTTGAGTTCAGGGGGTATTTTTGAAAAAAAATTAAAAACAAGGAGTCAAAGTGCAAATAGAAAAAGTTCGGCCACGTAGAACTGCTTAGTTAGCAGCCTCAACAAACTGGAGTGCGCCATGTGGTCAGGCGCGCTGGCGTTAGCGCCACGTGGTAGGCCACGTTGGCGATTCGCGTGCCCCGCAATCGGGCGGCCCAGGATCGATCCCGCACGTGTGGACAGCCTGGATTCGTTTCCAACTTAGGTGTGATCAGACAGTCGAGATTAATCGTGATAAACGGCCTACATTCTTTTTCTCCTTAGGCGCGATCAGACAAATGAGATCGATTGCGATGGATGACCCATATTAATGCTAGATGGGAATAAATATTTCACATTACACGGGACCCGAACCCTAGCCGCCAGGCCCCCACCGAAGAAGAAGGACTAGACGCTGGAGAAAGAAGCTGATCGCCGACCATCGCCGCACTAGAGCCACCTCTAACTGCCAAAAAATGTAAAAATTCTCCTACCCGTTTGGAATTCGATTTCGAGCATCCATGTGGTCATATTAGAGCAAAATGAACGGGGGGGGGGGGGGAGTGAGCCAAAAACTGTGGGTAAAGCCTGGCGGGGCCGTTGCGGCCCAAAACCCACAACCTCCTTCGATGAGCCCCTTCCCGATTCCCGTTTCATGCGATTTTTCTATCGTTGTGTTCACTGTTCTATCTTCTATAGGTTGACCAAAGGAGGAATCCCAACCGTGAAGGAGACCCGGCGGAGTCGTCGCACCCGGAAACCCCACCATCGGTAGGTTTCAGTTTCTTAATTTTTTGTGGCCAACCCAGGCTCCCTAACATGTTTTTTTTGTAGAGATATGTGTAAAGTTGGCTGAAACTGGCCGAAAAAGGCCAGGCCGAGACAAACTACCGCCGCGGGTGATGGTGCCGTCGCCAGAGCACGACGGTGTCGCCGTGCCGGAATCCTGAAATTAGCCAAAATAGATTTTTAACACTGATTTTAGATTTTTGGAGTATTTTTTTTTGGTACGTGAAGCGTGTTTGATCTTCGCAGGAAAATTCAAAAAATCTGAGGACTGCCAGGAAGTGCAGTAGAAAGTATGGTGTTTCGGATATTGATTCCGGTAAGAATCCCTCATCCTATTCTCTGTTATAGAATTGAAGCTTAATAATTAATAATATATGGTATTTTTTAAAATTTAGAAAACTTTGGAAATAATTACAGGTTACTATGTAGCTGGAACTGGTTAGTCATTTATTTGTCCTGTTTAACTGATTATTTACTTGAACAACTTTAAATACATGATAATATACTAAAATAGTCAAATGATTCAGTTATGTTTCCTTGATACATATATCGCTTGTTTTGCGTGATTTACAGTTGATTGTGAAATGTGAAATTAATATACAAATGAGAAATTACTTGATGATGTGAATTAATAAATGGTTGTCTTACTGAATATCCTGAGATGGTGAACAGACTGTATACATAGAGAACCCTACCGTAAACGTCACATCATACTGGACGGAGTATCAAGGGATAATATTTTTGGCGCTTATACCGGATAGGGTATGGTGACGGCCCGGTTTACCCTCATACTGGATGAGGTATCGAGAGATGGTATTTTTGGTACTCATACCGGATGGAGTATGGGGACGGTTGGTTAATTAATAAGTTTAGATATTGGGTTCACACGTAGGAGGACATCCTTATGGACCCCAAAGGTACCAATAAGCAGATAAAAAAGAAAGTTGTTGTCCTAAAAGGAAAGTTGTTGTTCTTACTCACTTGTATAAGAAATCATAATGTTATTTGAATTATTATTTTTATAGGTCGATTTTGGTAATCTCATAATGGTAAGTATGTGATAAATGGTTTTTCTTATGATAAATGAACTTAGTTAAATTAAAAGCTCCATTAGTCGTTTTATATTTTTTTACCAACCTTTAGTTTCTGTATCGGTGAGTAGTGTGATATTCTTATTGGGCTAGTGTAACTCATCTCTATTAACCATTTCAGATCAAAAAGATCAAGATTCAGATCCTAATCAGCAGAAAGACTGTGAGTAGGTGTCCAACGGATCCTATCAAGAGCTAGTGGAGGTTAACATCTCTACAACATTTATTTACCATTTTTATATTTTTATTTCAATTTTTTTTTATGAACCGTTATGAAAGAGACATTTCTGTAGCCCTATTGGGCATTCAAATTTATGTGTGAGAAATGTAAACTCTAACGTTATTATATGCTTCTGCATCTTTAATTCAAATTTATTTTACCTAGGGTTTGGGTCCTTACAGTTGGTATCGGAGTCACGTTTCTCGGAACCATTCTTTACACAAAGACTTAAAAATACCAAATACAAAACTATCACTCAACCTTTCTTTGTTAAATACAAGTACAAGAAATGAGGAGAGAAAGACCTCTATTAAACCGAGCAGCCTGGGATGGCTCACTTCGAGAGGATGTCGACCGACTCTTTGAGATGTTGGAGAGATTCATCTCTACCCAGCAGCCCCGGTTGGAAAGGAGAGAGCTACCTGACCCTCTATTACTATCATAATTTGAGCCACCCTTGCATTGGAAAGATCCGGAGCCACCCCGGTACAACCTTGCTCCTCTACCGTACTATCCGGCACCACCACAGTATAATCTGGTACCTCCATCATATCATCCGGCACCACCACAAGGACACTCGATCCCTCTTCAGCATAATCCAGTTCCTCTTCCACGAGACCCACTTCCCCCCATGATAGACCTAGCCTACATTGAGAGGTATAAGAGACTAAACCCATCTACTTTTGTAAGGGCATCCTCTTTTGAAGATGTCGAGTTTTGGTTAGCTGAGACAGAGAAGGCCTTTGCGATTCTTGAGGTGGTTCCCGAATAGAATGTTATACTTACCACCTGCATACTTGTAGGAGAGTTAGGTCCCTGGTGGTAGCTCAAGCAGGCCACTCTACTCGTTCCAGTCACTTGGGAACAGTTTCTGATGGCCTTCAATGCAGAGTACCTCCTAGAGCACCTCCGACATTTGAAGGAGATGGAGTTTACACACCTAGTCCAAGGTGAGATGACTGTGTCGGAGTATGCTTGAAGGTTCCTAGATTTGGGCCAGTATTCCCCTGAGAGCATGATGAATGAAGGCAGGAAGGTAAGGAAGTTCAAGTGGGGCCTCCGCCCTAAGATCAGATAACACCTGTACGTATTTGAGCTCAGTACCTACTTAGCCGTTCTGGCCAAGGCACAGCTAGTAGAAAGGAACATTCGCATATTTTCTCCAGTAATGGGGAATCCTAGACCCCTAGTTTCACATGAAGACCAGCACCCACTGCACCGGCTCAGTAGTTTAAAAGGCTTTGGCTAGTGACTCAGCCTCCTCCTCAGACTCCAGTAACAAGATGCGGTATGACTTGCCAACACTGTGATAAGGATCATAGGGACCGACTCTGCTATCGTCTCAATAATACCTGCCGCATATGTGGGAGTACCCAACACTACGTGAGAGAGTGCCCGCTGAACCAGAATAAGGCCAGACCTCCTATCTAGGGTAGAGCTTTCAAGCTCACTCAATAGGATACTGAAGTTAATCCGAACGTGCTACAGAGTATGTATACTATCTGTAATCATCTTGCATGTATTTTGATTGATAGTGGTGCTTCACATTTGTTTGTCTCACACACTTTTACATAAAATTAAATGTATAACCAGAAAGACTTATTTTTGTATTGTTTGTGTCCACTCTTGGAAGTAGGATACTATTAGGGGAGTTTATATATAAATCTTGTATCATATACATAACAGATAGGAGATTAAGTATGAATCTGATAGAGATTGACACGGGAGATTTTGATATAATCATGGGGATGAACTTGTTAGTGGCGTACCACGCCACCATAAATTGCTTCCACAAGAAACTTATATTCAACCCTCCTAACGAAGAGCTATTTACAAGTTAATGAAAATGTTAAATGTAATTTCCTCATTTCATAATGTTTAACTCTATGGTCTTCTCTATATTCAGCAAACCTAAAAGACAAGTCTGCATTTAAGAGATTCCGGTAGTCTTAGACTTCTCTAATGTGTTTCTTATGAACTACCCGAACTACCGGTGGACAAGAAAGTTTAGTTCACCATAAATCTCCAGCCTAGCACCCAGCCTATCTCGGTGGTCCCTTACCGCATGAGCTGTATTGAGATGGACGAACTGAAAAAATAGATTAATGAATTAAAGGACAGTAGGTTCATCTGGTATAGTGTATCTCCTTGGGGTGCCGGAGTCACATTTGCAAGGAAATGGTATGGGATGTTATAATTGTGTATTGACTGCAGGGGATTAAACAAGGTCACAATTAAGAACAAGTACTGTCTCCCCATAATTGGTGATCTTTTTGACCAGTTACAGGGTGCCCAGGTCTTCTTCAAAATAGATTTGCGATCAGGTTACCACCAGGTAAAGATCAAGGTAGAGGACATTCCCAATACAGCTTTCAGAATCAAGTAGGGACATTATAAGTTGCTGGTCATAATGCCTTGGACTAACCAACATGCCAGCCATTTTTATGGACATGATGAACAGAATTTTCAGACAATTTCTAGATCAGTTCATTATTGTATTTATTGATGATATCCTAATCTATTCAAAGAGCAGAAAGGAACAAGCTCACCACCTGACTCAGGTTTTATAGGTTCTTAGAGAGAAGAAATTATACGCCAAATTGAGCAAGTGTGGTTTCTGGTTCGAACATACTACCTTTTTAAGACACATCGTATCAAGGGATGAAGTATAAGTGAATTCTGAAAAAGTTGAGGCGGTGCTTGGATTGGAGAAATTGAAATCGGTTAAGGAGATTCGTAGCTTTTTGGGAATGACAGGCTATTACCGCAAGTTTGTAGAATGATTTTTCAGTTTAGTCGCTCCATTGACCCGGCTCACAAAGAAGAATGTTAAGTTTAAATGGAACATAGACTGCAAAAAGAGCTTTATAAAATTCAAGAAGCAATTTACTACTGCACCCGTGTTAGTCTTACCGAGTGGAATAGAGGTTTATACAGTGTACAGTGATGCTTCCTACCTGGAGTTGGATTGTGTTTTAATACAGCATGACAAGCTCATAGCCCATGGGTCCAGGTAATTGAAGAGTCATGAGAAAAATTATCCCACCCATGACTTAGAACTTACTGCCATTATCCACACCCTGAAGACCTAGCGCCACTACCTGTATGGGGAGACCTTTGAGATTTTTACTGACTATAAGAACTTTAAGCACATATTCACTTAAAAAGATCTGAACATGCATCAGAGGTGTTGGATAGAGCTCCTCAAAGATTATGATTGTAATATCTTCTATCACCTAGTTAAGGGTAACGTAGTAGCTGACGTGCTAAGCAGAAAAACTACAGATATGTTAGCTCACCTAATGGTTTCTGAATGCAATGTAATAGGGGCCGCACAACAGATACGACTTCAAGACTTAAAGAGAGTTACATGCTTGGTCCACCTAACTGTCCAACCCGAATTGATCCAGAGAATAAGAGAAGCACAATTAACTAATTCCACCATAGCTACCCTTAAGAAAGATGCAGAACAGGAAGTACGTCCAGAATTTTGAGTCCTTTCCAATTGATTGCTTAGGTTTCAGGACAAGGTGTGTGTTCTAAATGACAGTGAACTAAAAAGAGACATCATGACAAAGGCTCACAACTTCAAGTTCGCCGTACATCCTAAAGGTACTAAAATATATCAAAGTATGCGACCCCAGTTTTGATGAAGCGGGATGAAAAGGGAGGTAGTCGATTTTGTTACTAAGTGTCTAGTATGTCAACAGGTTAAAGTGGAACATCAATTTCCAAGCGGGCTACTTCAGCCATTACTGATTTCAGAGTGGAAGTGAGAACATATCACAAAGAATTTTGTAACAGGGTTGCCTAAAGCACGTCTAGGATATGATGCTATTTGGGTAATTATCGACCGACTCACCAAGTCTTCTCACTTCTTGGCTATCAAGATGACTGACCCCTTAAACATGTTAGTAGAAATGTATATCCGAGAGATAGTCAGGTTACATAGAGTCTCAATGTCATTGATATCCGACAAAGACCCCATGTTCACTTCTTGATTTTGGTCTTGTTTTCAGCAAGCCATGGGAACGAAACTATCTCTTATCACTGCATTCCACCCTCAAACCAATGGACAATTAGAGAGAATGATTCGTACACTGGAGGATATACTCCGAGCTTGTGTGTTAGA